CCCCAAAACCCCAAAACCCCAAAACCCCAAAACCCCAAAACCCCAAGATGCCACGTAATAATTGAATGCAGGTGGTCCACCAATAATGATACTAGTCTAAAAAATATTAGGAAAAATAGCTCAGAAGAGAAATTAAAAATTAAAACAGGGAATCAAGCCCATGCACGTTGTTCCCTTTCTTCTTTGACTATATCAAAAGATATATGAACATTTGGTACGCACTAATAATTCTGACTAATCATGACAAAAGTTAAAAAATTATTAATACTCATTCATACTTGGAAGACTAGTTCAGAAGGCAAATTCAGACACTAAATTCTTCCAAAGTCTTTAAAAGCCAATAAACATTAAAATTAGCTGCGAATCAATGGTGACTCTCATTTATCCTGAAACTCAGTAAGGGAAATATTCAATGTTCGCAACTTTTATCTGGCTATATTGATGAAGATTTTCATCAGGAAAGATCAGAAGTTTCTTGAAACCATCTGCCCCTTCTTCTCTGAAGGTAATTTTGAAATATACTGACAAAATCTCTAACTAGACCATGCTAGTACGCATCAGAAAATTCTATAGAAATTCAGATTTACTTGTAATTCATATCTCAAATTTCATAAAAATGAGAGAAGTAGTTGAATTTTTAGATAATATTAAAAAATGAAGAGATTTTGGAAGAAGAGACTCTCAAAGTCTCGCTTTGTCCAAACCGCTGACTTTGCCACCTTATATGACTTTATAATTGACAGCTTCATAAAATAATCCTCATTTTAAAGCCATAAGTAGTGTTTCTCAGTGAATAATAGCTCTGATTAGGTAAATATTTCTTCTATCCCAACTCACATGATTTTCACTATGTTGAAATAGAAGGATCCCATAAAATTCTAATCCGAAGAACTATAATAATGATTTGCATGATAAGGGGGCTAGGTTTCTAAAGTAAATGTCGTTTTAACTCACTTACATTATTATTAGAGAAATTTTAAGAAAGAGATTATATTTCAAGATCCCTGAACTGAAATATCTCTTTAAAAATGATATTAGAACTTAATTATTTTAAGTTCTTTTGAAAGGATTATAGCCAAAGTCTTATTAATAATTTGCATGACTATTAATTAGCAAAAACTCATTGAAATTTATTAACCTCTGTTTTTACATATTTTGGATAAAATATTTATGGTTTACATTGAAGCCTTTAGAAAGTTCGATAAACTCGATTTCTAATGACGTCTACCTAAAAGATCACCAACAAAAATTCGAAATCATCTCTTTAAGACAAAGTATAAAAACCTTGGAGCTCAATTAACAGTTTAAAATTGCTTATAATGTCTTAAGCGCCCGTGTTTGCAGATTTTACGGTATGATAATCATATTATTACTGAGTATGAACTCCTAATTCCAATCAGAACTAATTCTCTCCAGAAGGTCTTATCAGAGATTAGCAAAATTATAAGCTAATTATTCCTGATTAACTCACAGAGTGTCTGAAATTAATCGGAAAATTCTGAAATATTTCATGACGTTACCCAATTTTAAACCCTGAACTTTTTATCTAGTACTTTAAAATGTCATAAATTAACTGATATGTCTGAAGCAGGACTTAAGCTTAGGTGATAGCAGCTTGAAGCTTCTAGTATCATTTTTATGAGAGTAGACTTCACCTCTCCTTTATGTCTTGAAAAATGGTGCAATTCTTGCATTTTTAAGTGCAGGTTGACTATAAAAAGAAGTAAAACTGTTTCAAATTTTGCTAAAAATAACCAAGATGGGTTTATAAATACTGATAAATAGTATGAAAATTAATGATATACCTCTCTAAAAGTCATGAGTAACAATAATCTTCATTCATCTATCGAGCATTATCGTTTGCATAGTTTTATCTCCTTGTGCCCTTCTTCTTGAGATTTAATAATAAACAATTTTACAGCTAAATGTAGCATATAATGTAAGGTGAACTGATTAGTAGAATTTAGGTGACCACCTGAAATGCATGCAGTATCAAAGACAGTTTTTATGATAATATGACAAAAATAATTTGCCGAATTTTGGCAGTATTTAATCAATTAGTGAGGCTTCAATTTTAAGTATTTACCAGGCAATCATCTTGCTATAATGACTTAAGAAGGTTTATGAATTGGTCTACTAATATCAGTATTGGCTAAACCAAGATATGTCCTTGGAATATCTTATGAAGCTAATAGCTCAGAAATGACAAAATTTGGATAAATAGGGGTTTATACTCTCCGTTTGCTCCTTTGATTACCCGAAAATGTCCAAAGAGCATATATATCAAAACCAGATGCTCTCTTTTAAAATTTTGGCGAGTCTTTAAATTTCATGTCTAAAAATGCAGGAGTTAATAATATAAGTATAGCTCCTTGATAAGAAATCATCCGTTTTGAAATTGGAATGAAGCAAGATTCGTAATAACATTTCTAATTATTAATTTTATTAGCCACTCTAAACTCTATGATATGAAAGCTTGGCCTTTAGAGTTAGGTTTTATCTAAATTTTTAGTTATTACTACTAAATTTAATTTAATTTTGAGCTGCCAGGCTCTCATATGAATAATTGAACAGCACACATTTTGTCATTAATTCCTACTCAAGCCTCTTGTTCAAATTTCTAGCAAATTAAGTAGGATCTTAAGGTTTTTAAATTTCTTTCCTAGCGATTCTCAAAAAGAGACAATTAATAGGTACTATTAATTAAGGGTTGGACTTTCAGTTAAAAGCTAACAATAAACCTTTTACACAGTGATTATAACACCTTTATTAAATTCGTTTGCTAAGGAGTTGGCTAGTATGTTTATACGGTAGATAACTATCAAAAAGTGAAGTTGCGATACTTTTAATAACAGTCTGCTTTATAATCCTACATTGTACTATACCTCTATGCCAAGCCAAATGAGGACTTCTCATGATAGGATTAAGAAAAGTTAATATTTTAGAATAGTCTAAGGTAAAAATTATATTATCAACATATTTATTTTCAGATTTATGCTTTCTGTCCTCTTTGCTTCACCGAGAAATGGGAGGTATCAACATGGTGGCTCTTTACTGTAAGTCTAGAATATTCTCGAGTGTTTCAGCCATAGATACATCTACCTGGGAGACCATGTATCTCAGCAGTACTCTGAGACTGTCAGATTGCAGTGTTTTCTCCAGTTTCTTATAGGTGAACTTCGTATTAGTCTCATTGAACTGGGAAATCTCTCCTTGTATCTTTCTTTTATAGTTCAATTCAGAAGGCTTCTTGATACCTAGAATTCCGATTGTATAGTAGACCAAGTCATCAGCAAGAAGCTCTTCAGAGATGATGCTTTGCAGAGTAAGCCTCATCCTTTCATATATCTTGTCGAGGCTTCAGTTGACATATCTTTTCTGGATGATTTTTGAGTTCATTGATTTGAAGAGCTTATTTTATATGCTTCCTGGTAATCCGAAAGACCTTTTTAATTTTCGCATCGGCTCTAACCCGGGGTTTGCTTTGTACTCTAGTTCCTGTTTTTGAGCCAAATTTATTTGCTCTAGATTCTTTTAGTCATGAATCTGCAGTATCATCTTCCTCCGAAACTCTTAAGCTAAGTTCTTTCTGAACTTGACATTTTTCTTCAATTTCCGGTTTACTTCCACTTCTAAATTTCTTCTTAAAATCTCTAGTAATTTCATTAGTTTTCTCTTCTATAAATTTCGTTTCCATCTGATCCACTTGATTTTTGAGGGTTTTATACAAGAGAGACGAGTCTACAATCCCAAAACAGCTCCAATTTTGCATAATGTCACTACATTCCTATAAATATCGATTAGTCACAACGCATCAATGAGCCCAACACTAACTTTTTCCTCTCAAACTCACCTCTAATCAATTCTCTTCCTTCAATCATCCATTATATTGAAAACCCCTTTCTATAGAAATAGCATGAGGCTTGAAATGTCCATATCCTCAGAGCCCTCATTCTCCATTCCTTGCATCCAAAAGACTAGTAGACAAGCCGTTCATATTTTCGCTAAAGTTTCGACATAAGTCGCTCATTTTGATTGAACTATTAATTATTATTTTTATTACCCTCTTCCCAATTTTATATCATCTCCTAGGGGTTTTGGGGTTTTGGGGTTTTGGGGTTTTGGGG